ATAACTTCTTTAGACTTGTATTCAATATTTGTGTAGATACAACCTAATATCCTTTTTGCCCTACCACTAGCAACAGCAGATAATGACATAATAACTTCTTTAGACTTGTATTCAATATTTGTGTAGATACAATGTAATATCCTTTTTGCCCTACCAGATTATTTCCTTCCATAACACTTTTAAGGTTTTTTCCCATCAAAATTATACTCATAATTCAAATTATAACAACCCATATGCATTATCTTGCATTTATTATAATTAAAAGCCATCTGCCATTTATGTGCCCACCTCACCAAACAATCCAAATCCTTCTTGTGATGATGACAAAACCTTGTCGAACGTTGTACATTTGCTGTTGTGTTAAACTTATATTAAAGTTTTTCTTCATTACCCATTCAAGCCATCTCCAACCATTATTACAATTATATATTTTTCCACATAAACATTTAGTTCCTGTAACAAGCTATCTATGTATACATCCACCTGAGTCAACTACTCCACCTTCATGGTCTTACCATTAGTCAGCTAAGCACATGCCAACACCCAGTCATTTCACCATTCACCTCATTATGGCACTAGGGTGACAAATCACAATCCTAACTTCTGACTGTACATTTTCACTATTCCAGAGAGTTCAAGGCCAAGACAAGTTTAATAATAATGATAAAAACAAATATAATATATATGAACAATATATTTAATAGCCAAAACAGAATTCCAAATTTCAAAAGATTGAGTATAAAAACAATGTTTTTACAGAATGAAACCACAAAAAAAATGAAGAGAAGACATTGTAAAATATTTAGACAAAACAAAAATGATTTCTGAAATTTTAGTGTGTATTACTAGAAAGGCATTATTTCCAAGTATGAACACTGCTGAACTGCTAATATTATAAAAACTTTTTCATGCTCATTTATCTTACTGGGCAATTTGTTGGTGCAAAATTCTAGCTTTCTCGTAACAAATTCTGAAACTATTTTGCAAACAGCTGCTTAAAATAAAGGGTGAAAGGCACGTATATACTTCCTCACTCAGTTTTCAGGTGGATACTAGTGTTTGATACGTAACTGACTTGATAAAAGTTTCAGAATCAGATTTGATCTTTTCATTAAAATTAAGCATTAAACAAAAGGTTCTTAACTCTTGACCATTTAACATTAACCTCAAACAAAATAAATAAGCTCATCAATAATGAAAATCTTAGATTTTTTTTAACATTTTCACTATTTACTATTCTCAATATTTGATTCTATTTCCCAAGACCTAAATCATTCATTCAACTTCCAAATTAAAGCAACTAAATGGCTTGTTCTTATAACCAAAGTTAAATATGATCACCTGATTATTTTTATTATTTTTGAATAGCAAACCAAAAACTGCAAAAACCAAATTAATAATAAATATATTTACATATTTAAACAATCAGTGGCACACATACCTACACATGAAATTATTTGCAATGAAAAATATAGAATGTTCTTAGTTGTAAAGAAGTGAAATTTAGTACAACTTTTCTTTCTAAACAACTTTATTTACAATCAATGTATAAATGTTTATCAAAAGGATAACAAAGGTTCAGCAAGCCAGTTAAATTAAACAAATAAATGAAGGTGAGAGTACCCATTGCAAATTACTAATCCTTTACCCTCCTAGGAAATGGATCTATAGTTACTCTATGCCAACCACCCATCTCTATAAAGAATAAAAATAATTCAATCTAAATTCTTTAGGAAAGTCTGGGGATAAAAACGTGGAGAGAGAGAGCTCTTAAATCTAAAACCACCTTCAATATAATAACTTTTTAAACATCCAAATGTGTTAATGTTAGTCTTAAGTTATTCCAAAGATAAACTGTTGTACTTAGTTGGATTAAATGTATATCTGATAAGAAGCTATATCAACAGTAATCAAAACTAAATAAAACTATCCACTTCAACGTCATACTAACCCTGATCAGAATATATTATTATATACATAGTTTGGTACTTTCATTACTAGAATACTTACTATATTAAGTCACAGTAATTATTTTAGAGACTTACACAATAAAATTATTTAATTTTTACCACCAGTTTACAGATAAACAACTCTCCCAGTGCCTAAATTATTTTTATATCCACAATAAAAAAACAAAAGAACATGTTTTAATATTTCATCACTCATATGAATCTCAAAACTTGTAAACTTAGAGAGTGAGTACACGTATAAAAGGGAATACCCTTTCTTCATGGTAGTACAAAATTCCAAGTTCACATGTGAATAATGTAAAACTTTTAAGACTGAAACATAGGTTATCTAGTGTGTATATCCCATTCTGTACCCTTGATATGCTCTAGAGAGAGACGTATGTGCTCATGACAATGAAAGATTATGAACTAAATGTGTTAAACTGTGCAGCATATGATGAAAGAACATTTGTTAAATATGAATAACTCCTAAGATGTTTAAGTATATGTTTCATAAAGTCTTAAGAATTAACACTGAACTTGTATGTATTAATTCATGCAAATAATACAACAAAGTTACATTTCATGTAATTATGACAACAATTTGCATACTTGGTGATGGTTAAAACCACAATCAATAGTGCTATAAACATAAAAAGATTCATTGTACTTTTTGCTTTACACATACATGTTAAAATATACTATACTTGCCTTCATTTATATACAAAAATAATATTGTTAAACATATACATTTAATTCAAAAATTTATATTTCCATTAAACAATATTACAGTTCCAAACACTAAAGATGCTGAATTTTCAGTTCAATGATTATCATTTACTAACGTTATTGCATTCAGTTGTTACACAAGATACATTTGTTTTATAAATTAAAAATGCTTTTTTTAGTCTCCCAAACAACAGGAATGTTGGGGAGACTTTATAATGTTTTTTTTAAATTCAAATACTAAAGCAATGTCTACATGCTGCACATTCAACACCTCTACAGCTTTCATTTGACTATGTATATTGTACAAGGGCCCTTAATGATGTAGATATGAATATTTCATGAGGAATTAATCCTCCTAAACCTGTTTTTAAACTTACTGTTTAACTTGTATTTTTTCTAATACAGGGTAGTGTGTCTAAAAATAAGGTTAATACATTTTCAAATATGTATTTTTTTTACCTAAGTACCTTTTTTTTTATCAAGATTTACAACAGAATCTATGAATAATGACCATTTTACCTTTATAATTCCTTAAAAGAAAACTGATCCACTTAAAAGGGTTAGCACAAGCCTATGAAAAGTGGTCAAACAATTAAAACTAAAAGACATTTCATCACCCCTATTCTCTAGTGTCTGAAGCTTACTTATGTAACAATTACCAATCCCAAAAAAGTCCATAAGTTACAAGGGAGCATCTAAAACTACTTTTCTTACAATGTCTCAAATGAAGAACAATTCTCTCATCCTTACACCTACCCCTTTAAAGAGGGTAACTATTGCTATGACACAATTACCCAATTTCTATTAAATATTGTTTACTACTCTTTATACATGAGCCATTTTCTTTAACTTATTTTATAATTAATTTATACTGTCCACAGGGAGGCATTTTACTCTTACATGCAAAGGTTAAAATGTGAACAGGTAAAAATTTACACTTACTTGTCCTATGTAACAGGTAACATTTAAAGATGTCATTTGCTGGTAAACATTTTAGAAAACCTGTTAGTTTTTTTAGCACTTCTTTCAGTTTTTCAAACAACCTTAACTGAGAGTTTTAATAAATACCTTATGACTCTACTAGTAGTACTGCGAAAAAGGTTAAAAAGTAACATCAATATGTTAGTTGTATTTTTTCATGTACAAAGTGTACTAAATCTTAGAGTAAAAAAATTTAAATGGGTGTTGTAGTTTTTTGTTTTTATATAATCATTACTACTATTACTAATAGTAATGTAAGGAATTAGTTAATACTCAGTTGTCATATAAATTATACAGTAATTTAAACTTTAAACATCACGAAATCTTACTATACTGTTACTCATTACTTCTACTAGTACTATTATAATTTTACTACTTAATACACGATTAAAAGAATAAAACTGGGGTTAAAACGTCAATCTGCAATTTTAATCACAGAACGTTTACGTTCATATACTTTTTGCTAAAGTTAACTTTGATTCAACAAATTAGAAAATCCTAGAAAGCTTACTTTCTGGTTCTGTTTTTGCCACAAAAATGAATAATGATTCCAGTACAACAATTTGTAAGAATACATGTTTCACTCTCCAACCATCCCTAACCGCCATATTTATTGAACACTGTATAATAATCGTAGTAAAAGAAAAAAACGGCAGCGCCTTCAAGTGGCGAAATATGAGAATTTGATGACGTAAGAATCTTAATAAGAAGTCTAAAATACTTCGTTCTTCTAAAAGTTAACAAAATATTTATATTAAAATGTTACTCGTATAAAATATTTTATTACAGTTAATGTCAATTAAGTATGTTTATATTAAAAGCAAAAGAAAGGAGATGGGCTTGGCACATTTCTTAGACCGGAAATGACATTGAGGATACAAAGTTGGGACACAGTGTGTAAACAGTCACAAGACGATGACGTGTAACATTTATACGATTTACGTTTTAGTGAATCAGTCAATTTTCACAGATTTTTTTAGCTGAATGACCCAATAGACAGCATAAGACATGCCTCAATTTTAACTTGACTACTTTAATATCTATTTTATTATTCTACAATATTAGTGTTTCGTAATCTCAAATTGAAATAATATCGTTGTATAGTTCTCCTCCGCATAACTTAATATTGTTTTTACCTTTAATATTAAAAATCAAACTACGCGCACACACCGATACCGCGTGAGAAAGCATTGGTCTTTCTTTGAAGCCCCCAGAGGCACAGCGGTATGTCTATGGACTTACAACGCTAAAAATCGGGATTCGATACCAGTGGTGGGAAAAGCGCAGATAACACATTATGTAGCATTGTGTTTAACTACAAACAAATTTTCGTTGAAATTTATTCTAAAATTTATCATTTATTTTGAACTGTGATATACTAAATATCTTGAAAAAGGTGAAAGCCGAAACTTTGATAAAGATAATATTAGCAGTGCGATATCTAAAGTTCGTCACTTTTTTTTTATTGATTTAAAATTTTTCTACTGCTTAAATGCTTGCTTGTGTGCTCTAGACTATCAATTCAAACCACTTATTTTTCAATCTCGTTCGGAGGTCCAAATATCTAAAGAATAACAACAGGAAACTATTTATAGATATTTTTTCATACTTATGCCAATAGTTCTACTCGTATAATCCCCCATTATTATTTTTTCGCGGTAAAACTTCTGCTTGGTACTATGTAAAATTACGGTGTATAAATTGTGTATTAATATGAAAAATACTATAGTAGTAAAATGTACAGGATAGGCTAATCAGCGAGTAGCATTTTAGAAACAAGAGAGTATTGTTACGTCTCCGTTTGTTAATTGATTTTCCGTAACTTCGTTCCGACGAAACTTAAGCGACATAAGTTCTTTACTTAATAAAACTGGTTTATTCATTCCGAATACAACTTTACCGATACACTCAACTTCAACAATCGCGCTAAACAAACGCTATAACAACGAACGTGCTCAATAATACTTCTGACTGCAGATCAATTACTCACTATCTACCCACACATTACCTTCCCCTCTTTTATATACCAGCCTACTCT